AAGGGAGATGCACCCTAATGCAGCCAAGAGCCATGGGACACACAGCTTGTAAGATGCCTGCGTGTTCCCTAGGGCAGCAACCTGGGCGCAGAGCCACCGCTCCAACAGTCACTTGCTGTTTAATGCCTTCTTGAAATAAATCATCAGTAAGAACAGAAGAAACCAGAAAAATCACCCAGCAGAGACAAAGTGTGCTCACTCTCTTTAACAAAATTTTTTTGCAAAAATCTTGTTGGTTTAATAAAAGATATCATCTCCAATTGATTGAACTGAAAGGGCCGGCATGGGACACTTAAAGGTAAGCTCCTTGCTCCTCATGTGGGGTAGGCAGCGGCTCCTCCCCAAGGTGAGGTAAGGCAGGGATTGGGGCTGGCATGGGCTGGGGCTGACATGGGCTCTGCCAGCTCTGGGAAACTGCTCCATTCCCCAGCCCTGACACCATGTGTCTCTTTGCTCCCCAAGGCAATACAGGGGAGCAGAGGGAAACTTGATGAGGACTCTGCCAGTCACCTGTAACCTGCAGTACAATCTGGAAGTCCCCCAATAAAACCAAGCTCTTAATACAGTACATCAGTGGTTTTCAAACTGTTTCACAAGGGTTCCACAAAGAGACTGGGGGTAACGGTGGCCACCAATGCAATGATGGGTCACCCAACTCCACATTCGCTCACACAGGGCCCAGGCACAGGGTTTCCACAACAGAAGTGATATGAAAGAGTTCTGTGACTTGGAGGGAGTAATAGATATGGTGGAAGATAGTGCTAGTATTCAGAAAGACCTAGACAGACTGGAGGATCAGACCAAAAGAAATCTTATGCGGTCCAATAAAGACAAGTGCCAAGTCCTGCACTTGGGATGGTATAGGCTGGGGATCAACTGGCTAAGCAGCAGTTCTGCAGAAGAGGACCTGGGTGTTACAGTGGACATTAAGCTGAATTTGAGCCAACACTGTGCCCTTGTTGCCAAGAAGGCTAACAGTATACTGGGCTTCATTAGCAGGAGAGTTGCCAACAGATCAAGTGAAGTGATTCTTCCTCTCTGTTTGGCACTGGTGAGGCCACATCTGGAGTCCAGTGTCCAGTTTTGGGCTCCCCATTACAGAAAGGATGTGGGTAAACTGGAGATAGTCCAGGAAATGGCAATGCAAATTGTAAGCAGCCTTGGGAATGATTTACAAGAAGTGGCGGAGGAAACCGGGCTTCTTTAGTCTGGAGAAGAGAAGACTGATGGGATTTAAAAGCAGACTTCAGCTACCTGAAGGGTGGTTACAAAGAGGATGGAGCTAGACTGTTCTCAGTGGTGGCAGACGACAGAACAAGGACCAATGGTTGCAAGCTGCAGTAAGGGAAGTTTAGGCTAGCTATTAAGAAAAACTCTCACTAGGAGGGTAGTAAGCACTAGAACAGGTTACCCAGACAGGTTGTGGAATTTCTATCCTTGGAAGTTTTTAAGCCTGACTGGAATAATACAGCTTGGGACAGTCTTGCTTTGAGCAGGCTGTTGGACTAAATGACCTCCTGAGGTCCCTTTCAACCCTAATTTTCTATGATTACAAATCCTGGGCACAAGTTAGTTATCTAACTACTAATTTTCCAAGAGTAAAAAGTTGCATAGCTGCTTAAATAATTGTACTGTCCCATCCTAGTTAAAAAGAAAGACATACCAAATCTGGTGGAAAAATTGCTTAATTCTAAACCTACATGTTTTAGTAGTTTTATCTGCCATTGATAAAAGAGCTGAAATATATAAACCATTTAAAATAAATTATTTAAACAAAGACTTTCCATTTATTTAAATTGCCCGATTTAAAAATCAATTTACCCTGTTATAGAAAATCTGCATGACTAGGGATGAAAATGTACAGCACACATTTGATAATATGTTTTACTTCTACAAAAAAATGAATTCACCTAGTGGAGATCTGTCAAGAGTTTTTTGTGAGGGAAAGTTCGGAACAAACTGTGAGCATGGCAGAAGTATTGAGAAGGGACAAGGAAACGTCTGAGCATGTGTACTGAACGCTTCCTTCCCATTATTATTCCTAAAAAAGAACTGACAAAACATATAGAAAGAATGTTATTTTCAAAGATTTACAATGATTAAGGAATCTATTTTAAAAAAAGAGGAAAATTGTTTGGACTTTGACAAGTCAAACAATTCAAACAGGGAATTTAGCACAGGCAAGGGAACTCAGAAGAGCTGAGCAGTGCTGGGTTAAGTAGGTATTAGAGGGAATGCAAGAAATGCTGCCTGTATTTAGGGTTGACATTTCATTCTGACACACTATTGGCAAATAAATAAAGCAACTGAAAACAAACCATTTGGGCTTCTATTTTTTGTGCTGGGTATCTGTTACAGTCTGATCCTTTTTTTGCTTTTAGGGTTTCAGGTTTCTGAGAATGAGGATACAGAAAACAAGTTAAAATTGTTATAGTAAATTAAATGAGAAGCTTGATCACCACCCACGTTGAAGCTAGGATTTGAAATTTGACAGAAGGGTCACCCCAGGACCAGAAATATACATTCTGCCACACCTGTGAAAATTCACCCAATCTGACCAATTAACAAACCCCTGAAAAAAGAAAGTAAAAAATCCCTAACTTTGCACATGTACAAGAGACTTTCTCCCACCTACACTGACCATGCTTCACCCCTACAAAGACTTGTCCCACCATCCCTATAGTGACCAAGCGTGCTCCAACATATGACTGCCAGTGACAAGCAGGCCTGTTCTTATCACTACTCGTTCTAGCTGCTGTGATGCTAGATACAGTTAAACACAGTAAACCTTTGCCAATTCACATCGCCTCATTGTGAAGTTCTTGCTAATAACAATACCTAATACATAAAGGCAAACCAGTATCATACATCACAAAGTGGACTTTGCTTTAATAGCCACATCCAAGAATAAGGAGATTCTTTTGTGTTCCTCTCTAGAATAACATAAGGAAATAAGAAGTGCCATAATGGGCCAGACCAATGGTTCATCTAACCCAGTATCCTGTCTCTAATAGCTAAAAAGAAGGAAATAAATGTATGGGAGGTGGGGGAAGGGAGAGGGAAAAAGGGGAAATGTAAATATAAGCCATCATAATATGCAACTACAAGGAGACCACAGTAAGGTTTGCAAGGGTAATGTTAATTTTCTGCTTTTTAAAATTTTGAGTGCTACCCTTGTAAATTGAATCCCAAAGTAATTTACAACATCATACTTTGAGAACTATGGGTGCTCTTAGCATACTCCATTTAACTAAATAGCCTTGTGACTGAAAAGAAAACAAAGCATTTGGCCCCAATTCAGTATCATCAGCTGTCATTAAATACAACTTACTGTGTTTTGGAGAGGGCCTATGTCTTTAATAGCAGCACTGATACCGATAGGAACCAGTCATTTCATGGCTACTTCAGCAGACTTGAAATTAACAGTTTCTACACAGTTTTATCCAAAAAAAATAATTATGTAGTTGTACCAAATACAAATAAATTGAAGCAGAAAGTGGGGCTGAGAGTTATGATGTAATTAAGCATCACTTAACAGCTAACCAATGTTTGTTACAATGTAAATAATATATAAGCTTACATTTATTTGTTAGGGACTGGCATGATGTAATGTAGTTAAGTAAATGGTGTGCCTATCTAATATGTATATAAAAGTAGAGTGCACTGTATTTTCCTTGTTAATTTAGCTAAATTTGTATTGCGGATTGTCTATGATAATTATAGATATTTAAGGGAGGTAGGACCTAACTGTTTTACATCATCTAAAAACAAAGCTTTTAAATCACATACTGGTTAACTACACCATAGGAAAATATTTTAGTCTAAAATGGTTTTAAACTAGCTTTAACATGGCTTCGTGACCATGTGTAGATAGCTGGATGGTATTGTGATGCACCTTGACCTCAGATGAGGCTGGGTACACCCCAGGAATGCATCTCAAGAGGTGTTCTCACACCTTCAGGAGTGCCTTTCACCTCCAAACTCCTCCCTGCTGTCTGCTGCTTGACCACTGAGAACAAGACTGAGATATGACAGGCGCCAACTCTTTGCCCACCCCACCTAAGTCTTGCCAGCCCTTAGCAGAGATTCTGCCAGGCAGAAGGATCATATCCTCATTTGGTCATGCCCTCTTCCATGGAAGAGGCCTGCCCATATGGTCAAATGTTTTGAGTTATTCAGGGTGGATAAACATCAACAATTTAAAAAAGAATTAAAAATCAAATTTTTAAAATTTAAATCAAAGAGTTTTGGGTTTTTTTATTTAATCATAGTTTTTATTTTGTTAAGATGCTTTAAAAATAACCTATATAAAGATAGTTTTGATTTAAGATATGTTAAAGATCAAACATATCATCATGGAATAGGGATTATAACTCCTAATTATATACTATTTGAAATAATATATTCATGTAAACTTTTAAAAAAAGTTTACATGAAATAGGTCACAACAGGCCATGGACTATATTAGGGGCCCAATTTTATGGGGTTCCTAGAAATTAGTAAAGATTAAAGAAAACCACTCTACCCAATGGGACTTAGTGCTCAATCTAGAAGATCCCATCTGTGGGTACAATCTGTGGACAAGGCAAGAGCCCCCCAAGAGGACACTTGTCTCCCTGTACACAAATGCCAGGAGCTTGGCGAATAAGCAGGAGGAACTCGTCCTCCTGCTTAATGCAAATAATTATGACTTCATAGGGATAACAGAGACCTGGTGGGACTCCACTCATGACTGGACCTCGGGTATAGATGGCTATACCCTGTACAGGAGGGATTGAGTAGATAAAAGGGGCGGGGGTGTAGCTCTCTCTATCAAGGAAAGCTACATGTCCCTGCAAGCTGATATTGGTGACCAGGGTGGACGACTGGAGACCCTCTGGGTTAAAATCCGTGGGGAACACGGCACAGGGAGCACAATGGTGGGAGTCTACTACAGACCTCCCACCCAAAATCAAGAGCTTGACCAGGAGTGTGCCAGGGAATTGGCTGAGGCTGCATGCTCCCGGTGCATGGTTGTCATGGGAGACTTC